TTTCAAGCAGAATTTGAGTATTTGCAACTTCCTGTCTGGCTTTCTCTCTCCCCATTCTTTACAGTAGTATGTTTGATTTAAATCCATTCCTTCCAGGCTTCAGAATGTTTTATTTCCTTTTACCTTCTTTCTTGCTCTCTCTCTTTTTTTTTTTCCTCTTTTGTTTTGTTTTGCTCCCTTTTTCCATTGGAGTTCTGCCTCTCCACGGTGGTTTTCCTTACTTTCCCACTGCTGCACACATAGCTGCTGTTCAGAACACATAAGGACCTTGTGACAGAGCTTCTTTGTTGTTTTGTTTTGGTTTTTTTCTTTGGTCAGAAAAATGTGCAATACAAACTCTGATCGAAGGACACCCCACTTAGTTACACTCCCTAGTTTTTCAAAGCAAACTCATGAATTCAGACTTCTTTATAAACAAGTTCAAACTGAAGTCAAGGTCAGAAAGAGGGCAGTTAAGGAGCTTGTTTCCCCTCTCATTTACTCTTTTAATATGTGCTTTTTTTGCATGTGACTGTACTGAAATGATCACACTTTCAATGTTGCTAAAAGAAGGCAGGTGCAAAGTAACTCAAAACTTTATGGTAATTGCACTCTGTTATGTAAGAGGTTACTGTAGGGAGATCTGGTTGGTGCAGATGTCCTTAACACTTGGCAGCTTTAAAAATATACCTGCAGTTACATCCAGAGTGATTTTAACAGATCATGTCACTCTGCAGGGCATACACACAGTGCTGATGCAAGTCAAAGGTTATCTTTGAAAATTAATCTTTACTTCAATCATGGGTAAACCAACTGAACTGACACTGGCTTTTGAAAACATACTTTGAATTTCTGAAAGCATCTTTCTTCTTCACAGTATTTTATAAACGATTCAAAAATACCTAGAATTTACTATTTTATTCCAGGAATAAAATTTACAATTTTGTTGTGGTAAAACTATTCCAGTAAAATCCAGTCACCTCCAAGTTAGAAAAGAGTAATCCCCTAACAAGAAGGAACTGGCAGTCCCATTGTGCAAGAAATTTTATCTCAGTCAATAGGGACAGAGTGGATTCCTGCTGTGGAAAAAATAAGGCACATGTTAGTTGGTGTCTTAAAGGTACTTTTTAGCAAGCTCGATAAGCTTTCATTATGAGCTTTCCATGGTTTCTTTCAAACCAGCAGGTTCTGGCATAATTAGTCTTGGATTTACTTTATTGTAACTTCTCAAAGATGTCAAACATGTAATGTAATCAACACTACATCTCAGTTCATAGAACCACAGCTGAATAAGTGGATGCATTGCTACTTGCAGCCAAAACCAGCCAGCTGCATTTCTTAGCCTGATTACAGACTTTCAAGTGTTATTTCCAAAGCTGGCAACAAACCCCCAAACAAGCAACTGACTTGATGTGTTTAGTGCACTTAGACAAACAGATTTACTATGAGAGATAAATCTGAGGTTTAATCAAATGTTGAACTGGTGTAGTTGTTTCTTTTAACTGTGTGTTTTACCGCTCAGACATCCTTGATTGCCTTTCTTTGTTGCTTCTTGCAATAAACTCCTTCATTTTTCAAAGTTCACAGGCTTCAACTCACTTCAAAATTCTTTTTCACTGCGACTTTTGCTCCTGAGCTTTCTGCCACTTATAATAGTGCTGGCCTGTCACTGTCATTTTTAATTGCTCACATTTTAAAATAGTAACATGGAAATTAATGAACAATAATACATTGTTATTTCTTATTGTACATTTGGAAAAGTATCTAAGCCTCTTTTGATTGTACTTTATGTAGTTACTTTTGTACTGTGTATGGTTGGAAAATATTGGTATTCTTTGTCCTTAGTAACTTTCCAACTCCTTGCAGGTGAATCCAGAGCTTATGAAATGCACTTGCTAGGGTTTTAAAATAATAGTGCAGTTTAAGGATATGAAAGGAGCAAGGCTTAGAGGAAAAGGTAACAACACCAGATTAATTGATTCAGACTGAAAAATGGAAGTGCTTTCAAAGGCCTCCCTTCACAAAAATTTCCTCTTATATGTCTTTTTAAATGAATGTAAAGTGAAGAATATTAGGCATTGTAAACCTACAGGACGGGCCAGAAGTTGAGTCTCAAGCTCAGACAAATATTTAGCAAGTCTTTGTAATTCCTGTATACAACTGAAAAAATATTCTAGGATACACAACAAATTCCTTAGTGATACATTCCAGCATTAGTACAATATAGAGTCAAATAGCATTCCAAACTGGATTTCACACATAGTTGCTGTGTTTAGGGAGAAGAAAATCACCTAGTTCTTTTAAAACACAGTGTCTTTGACCTTGAGGTTTACAGAGCCTTCAATATCAGCACGTTGAATTTCCTTGCTGCCTGACCGGCAGCAGTGAAGGGTGAAAGGCAAAGAGCTGGAAATGCTGCAACTCAATCACATCTCAGTTTCCAGGTGAGGCTACTTGTATTCTTCCTTCTCCCTCCCTGTTCTCCCTGCTCCTACCCTCCATCTTCCTTGTCCTAGGAGTACAATTCTCCAAATACTTGTTAAGCCTTTATAGAGGCTGCAATATAGTAATACAAGAATAATTACAAAGCGAAAACAGTGTCTAGGGAATATAACACAGACAGTTCACAAGGACACAGTGTTCTTCCACAGATAGAAGGTCAGTGATTTCACAGTGGTCAACACAACTGTTCCTGCCAAAACACTGGATATGGAGTAAAAACTGTGCTTATGTGTCATCTTCAAAACTGCTTCAAAGGGCGGTGGGACTGCTGATGGAAAAAATGCTGCAACTTGAGCTAAATATTGTTAACTAAACACCAGAATAAACCATGCTGAAGGGCCTGGAAGTTTTTACATTGGAAGTTTTTTACACTCTGGCTTTAAGATATTAAAAGTTAAAAAAAATAAAACCAACCCAAGTGTGAAAAACACCAAAAACACCAATCACTTGGTTTTTAAAATTTTAAAAGCTTAATAATAATAATATGGTTATAAAAATAGTGATACTATTACAGCAACAAAATTTTAGAGTTAGGACAATTACAAGACAATAAAAAGCAATGCATCATGGACGTCTGGATGTTTTTGGACACTAAGCTGCCAAAACCATGCCTTGTGAACAGAGGAATAACCCTTAAAAGCAATAGCCTGTTGCATATTCATATATCTCATACATGATGTATAAATTCCTTGCAAATTAAGAATTTTATTCTGGTTTTTGTCAACTCCTGCTCCTTAAAACTGGTGGTTCCATAAAGAGGGAGAGAAGGTGAAGGAATGTTTTTTCTGATAAGGAAGCTATAAATCTTCAGGGTTCGTGTCGCTGTTATCTCTGTGCGAATAATTTCTTCATTATCTCATCTCTTTCTTGAGCTAGTTAAAAAGCATCTTACATAGCATAGTTTCTACTTTAACAGTATGTTATAACCTAAAAAAACATATTCAACACGTCGCTTGAGAGAATTAATACAGCACAACTATCTAACGTTACACACACAAGCATTCATCGCAACGTTTGCCAACAGCAAAATATGCGGTTTTCACACCAAAAAAAAAAAAAAAAACCAAACACCAAAAAACACCAAAAAAAAAAAAAAAAAAATCAAACAAAAAAAAAAAAAAAAAAAAAAGAAAAGGAAAAAGAAAAAGAAAAAAGAAAAAAGAAAAACCCCCACAGCATCACGCCTGACGCTGCCCCGCCCGCCCCCGCCGTGCCCTCAGCAGAGCCGTCCCAGGTAACGCTGCCGACCGCGCTTTTCAAAAATCTCGTTTTGTTTTGCATTTTCCCCGCCGCAATGTTTTTCCTCACCAGCACGTCCATCGCCAGCCCGTTTTCAGAGCGCTACCTGGTAAACCTGCGGGTTTCCAGGCGCCTTCTCCCGCAGCGCCGCCCCAGCCCCGTGCCGGGCGCTCCTGCCCTCAGGGCTTGCAGCGCCGCTCCCGGGCCGGGACCCGGGCACCCTCCCGGGGCTTCGAGCGGACCGGCCAGGCCAGGAGCGGCTCTGGCCGCAATCTGCCTTTCGGAGCTGCCGGAACCTCGGCGGCCAGGCGGCTGTTTCCCGGCGGCGGGAGCCTGGAGCCCGTCCGGGTCGCTGCCGGAAGCCGGCGGGGAACGGGGAGCGGCGGCGGTGCCGCCCGGTGACTGCTGCGGCTCGGCTCCGGCTCCCCGTCCTGCTCTGCTCGCGCTCCTGGTCCTGCTCCGGCTCCTGCCCTGCTCTGCTCCCGCTCCTGGTCCTGCTCCGGCTCCTGCCCTGCTCCGGCTCCTGCTCCTTCTTCTGTTCCTGCTGTGCTCCTGCTCCTTCTTCTGTTCCTGCTCTGCTCCTTCTTCTGTTCCTGCTCTGCTCCTTCTTCTGTTCCTGCTCCGGCTCCTGCCCTGCTCCGGCTCCTGCTCCTTCTTCTGTTCCTGCTGTGCTCCTGCTCCTTCTTCTGTT